TAGATTTCTGTGCAGACATCATGTCGAACGTTACGAGTAAAAAGACGGTTGATCTGAACCTATTGGCTTTGGTGGCATTAATACGTCCTCACCCAACGCCCATCTTCAAGAAGAAAAAGGCAGTGAGAAGAGATAAGAGGAGGGAGACAGCCGACCCCAAGCCAGTTGACCAAGTGGCTTCTTCTAGGGATCCTGAAGACCGGCCGCTGAAAAACCCTCTCTAGGATCCTATGGGCCCTAGTCCAAAAGAGGACATAATTGCGGCAGACCTTTCAATCCTGCTCATGATGGGGGTTCTTGAAGGCGGTAATAGCCCAAAAGCGGAGGTTGAAACTATCGCTTTAGAGTTGCTCGTGGAGGAAACAAGGGGAGGCCCTCCTGCGGTAGTGAAAGGTGTTTCCCTTATTATGTTAAAGCTTTATAAGCTCATGGTTTGGGTAAATAAGGAAATTCTTTTGATCTTTGGTGATGTAGTAACTAGACACTTTTTTTAAATGCAGGTACGTCGGTTGGGACAGAGGATGTTGAAGGAAACAGGTCGTTAATACATGTGTCCGACTCGATTCCCATTGTTGTCACTGGTTCCCTTGAGGTGACTGTCTGTCCCCTTCCTTCAATTGAAGCAAGTGCAAGCTCTCAGTAGGCACAACTTGTGCTCTGTAACTTTCTCCTGAGGTAGTGGCATGTCAGATGCAAGAGATGGCAGATGTTCTGCGCCAGACAACTGAAAATCCCACTGACACACCCATGTCGGGGTGGTTTGCTTACTACGAGTGACTGGAGGTTGCCTTTCAACAGAGCTCAGTTGTCTTTGCCCGACTGGAGGAGGAGGTTGTGTTGCTCCAAGGCTCATTAAACGATGTTCATACAAGATGGAATCCCTCCGTGACTCGATGGTTCTGAGTCGATTCATCAATGAGGTCATGCGTGTTGATCATATTAGATTAGGTGGAGAGAAGGTCATACAAGGTTGAGTGAAGGAAAGAATAAAGTGAGTTACTGTGGAGAGAATCGGGTAGCGTCCCCTTATTTGTATTTTTTTTCTCCTATTCATAGGGGCGTACTTTATAAAATTATAGAAAATAGGGAATAATTATGAAAATTGTTCTTAATATGATCAATGCTCTAATAAATTGTATGTATTTCATTCAATATCTGTATTATAAATTGAATTTTGATATGAGGGTAATTGGTTAATCGACTTGCTAAAATTTAGCAAATTAAGGCATTTGACCGGTTGGTGACCATGCCTTGTGTTTGGCCGATTGAGGCGTTCGATTGAATGATGATCTCATTTTTTATGACAATTGAGGGACGACCGTCCAATCACGATCTAAAGTTTTCAGCCTGTGCTTCAATTGGTTGATCGTCTGATGAGTCAAGTTGTTTTGTCGGTGAACCATGACTCACTTATCAATTGGCTCAAGTCGTACAGGGTATGTGTCTCATCTACTTGATCATTTTGTTTCATCAGTCTAATACCTAAGCGAATCTTATCGCTGCCTGTGTGAGTATTTGATGAGACTTATCCCTAAGATGAATTACACCTCACCCATGGCAGATATTGTCGCTATCATGCGAGGGGCTATCTTCAGAGCTTTGACTTGTCCTTGGTTTAGAAACACTACTTCATCTGCTTTGTGGTTACTTGTCGGTCGACTGTTTACCCTCTAGGGAAACTTTTTATTTTCGACCTTTCATTCTCTTTGAGATTCCTTTCGCTAGTTCTAGTGTATACATAGTTATATTAAATACTATTATAAATTATTTTTCCAATCTCAAATGAGGCATACATGTGATGTTTAATGTCGATTTAAGCTCAAATCAAGTCCAAATTTGATTCAGTTTTGATTGATATATTAGAACAACTGTTTAGTCCAACTTGAAACATGCACACAAATATGTTGGGATGATACACTCCTCAAATTATTGACACTAGAAAAATATAAATGAATTAATAAGCACATAGAATGCTATAAATTCACCATATCATAATTATATATGTTGACGTCGTTGTATATTTTATAAAAATAGTAGTTATGACTTGTTAATCTTTGTGCCATGAAGATTACATTCCATTTATACACTAAAGAGGTTGGGGGAAATAGCATACTCTATTTCTAAGCTAGCTAACTATCTCATGCATCAATATTAGCGTCACAACTAAGATAAATATTTTAGATCCAACGCAAATGACATTGTGCCTTCTTTTGTATTTTTAACTACATATTTGTCAACTTGATTAAGACATGCTATATATTTCTATTCTTTAAAACTAAAAAAATGTCACTTCCTTATAAAATAAATTAGAGCGTGGACAAAAGAGAAGAAATTCACAAACACCCAATATAATATATTATAGGCAAAATCTATATTATTGAACGTGGGTTTTATAAATTAATATGTTGCATATTCAATACTAGATATATCTTCGTAGTGCAATAATTAGGCACTACCACAACAATATAGAAGGACATTGATTAAAGGATATAGTATACCACAATAAAGATAGTTATTCTATTTTATCTATTTAATTGAACCAATTGTTTCAATTTAGTAGAGAAGACGAGAGCATGAAGTAATTGGTGGCTAGCTTTCAACAAAAAAGACTTCTTTTTAGAAAGGTTCCAAGAAAATAATGCAAGCATCACACATAAGCATAATTTACATCCAACATAAACTAGTCGTGATTATTAAAAATCTAAGTAAATGATAAGATAAATCATTGCATTGTGAAGTTTCTCTTCTTGTGATAGCCACAAATTAAAATAAATATAAACATTTAAATAAATGCAAAGATTTATTTTATGATAAATTAAACCATTATATAATCATAAATATAAGAATAATACATTCACATATGCAAGCAAATGTCTTTGGGTTTGATAAAAAAGTTAGCTAGTCTCAATTGAAATTCAATTTGGGAAAATCTTTGTATGTTATTATTTAATGCCAACTAAAAATTTAAGGAAAATTTTAGCAATCCATCAAATTGACGACTATATATCCAAAAAAGATTTTCATGCAATAGTATATTAAACACCACATCCATAAAGTATATAAGAATTGATTTCCTATGTAAGATGTAAAATTTTCCCCCTTAAAAAACTAATTGAAATTATTTTATTCATAATAATATTTTTTAGATTTGATATAGCATTATTTTGTTGATTTATTAGTTCTTTTCAAAAATTAATTTGTTGAAGGTATATAAATATATAGATGAAAAGCACATATTTTCTCAAAGGTTTATATCACTTCTTTTAAAATTTACAATGACATTATTTTCCACTTTATAGGATATGAATAAAAATTTTAAACTATTTATCTATCCACAAAACAAAAGTATTAATTAAAAAATTGCTTTGCAAGAATATCTTAGTCATCAGAAGTCAAAACCAACATTTATGTTATTATTTTGAGTTTTTTTTTACTAATATCATGGTGCGTAATAAACGACCAAATTATCACTTAAGATGTCATATGATACAAGTGTTTTTAACTAGTAAGAAATTTCTATTAAACAATGTTTAAAAGTCTAGCACAAGTTATCTAAACATGAAAGATTGCAACAATAATATTTTTGCAATGAAAACAATGAAACTTTTTTTAGGTTAAGAGTATAAATATAAATAATGTACATATATTAATACTAAATCATAATTCAAAATTCTCCTTATTAAATAATTTCAAAGCTCCAATTTTTTTTTACTTATTTAATCTAAAGATCAGAAACCAAGGGGTAATTTTTAGTCTTCAATGAATAAGAAATACTTTCTCTTATCATGTATTTTATGTTTTTCAAAGGCCTTCGTTTGAGTAGATCAAAAATTGAACTCACGGGACGTAATTTTAGTAGTAGTGCATGTAGTGACAGAGTTGAATAATAGGTGATCAAATCATTAAAAGGTGTGAACGTTTTAGATATCTCTGGTCTATTATTTAAAGTGAAGATGATATAGATGGGAATGTTACTGGCAGAATTCAAGTTGGACGGTTGAAGTGGAGAAATGCATCAGTCCTATTGTGCAATAGAAATATACCACTCATACTTAAAAAAAAATATTCATTGGTGGTGAGATCTGCAATACTTTATGGCGCATAATGTTAGCCTGTATAAGAGAAACATATAACAAAGTTAAGTTTTGCTGAGATGAGACGGCTTGGGCGCACAAGTGGCTTGACAATTAGAGACAAAATGAAAAACAAATGTATCCGTGAAAGGGTTAGCGTTGCTCCAATGACAGACAAGATTAGAGAGAGTCATCTTAGATGGTTTGGTCACATTAAACGTCAACCATTTGATGATCTAGTTAGGACTAAATTTTTTCAATCCGACTTATGTTTAAAAAGGTTGACGTTGACCTAAAAAGACTTGGACATATTGTATAAAAATAATCTTAATTCATTAGAATTAAATGAAAATATAACCCTCAATAGGACACAATTGAAAAAAAAGATTCATGTAGCCCACCCTACTTAGTGGGATAAAGACTTCTTGTTGTTATTGTCATTGTTATTGTTGTTGTGTATTATAATTTTTCTTAAATAATTAATGGCCAGCGACATATGAATATTTGGTGTGGTCTAGTTTAAATTAGAGTACTCGAATTCAAAATTAACGTTTTTCATAACGGATAGCTAATCGGGTTCAAGCACTACTGTACACACTAGGCATGCTCCACAAACAATTATTAAGAATGCAAGCTACTCTCAAATAAGGTAAATGATCATACGACAACTAGTGAATAATTTCTCCCACACTCCACAGTGTATTGCATTTGTAAATCCAAGATGGCTGAGCGGGGCGAACTTTTGCTGGCTTCCAGCTCCAACACATATAATTATATATAATTATTTAATGACTTAATTTTTTTTTTTTTCTGAAAAACATTTTAAAAAAACCGCGGTTGCGTCTTTTCTCTCTCATTATCTCTCTCATCGCTTTAATTAATGTTTTAATTTTGTTGGAATGCTTTTCAGCAATTTTAGTTGTTATCTTCTGCTGTTCCTTCCACCACCGCCTCTTCTCCCTCTAAACTCCCCCAGTCAGACAAGATTCTCTTCTCTCTTCTATTCTTCCCCCCCTCTTCAATCCTTCCAGCGAGCGGATCCCATCCCATCCATGGCGGCAGCAAATGATCGCTTCTCAATTCGGTATGTTTCATCTCTCTCCCCCTCTCTATTTTTCTCCACCCAATTTCTGTCAAGATCTGAACTTTACACTGATCCTCTGATTCACTCTTCTGCAACTGCGTAGTGACTACGCCGCGAGGATGAGGAACGTTGACTTCCCAAAGTCATGGCCGTTTGTCGGCCAAAAAGTAGAAGAACTTCATCCTCCGCCGATTTCGGTACGCAGATTCCGATGGTGGGCTGACGAGCTCAGCGCAGCAGGATCTGCTTCTCTAGCCGCGGAAACTAAAGCAGCAGAAACATCGATTCCTCCATCTAAGACGATTATGAAGACAACTGAAGATGAGAAATTATGCTCGCCAAAAGCAAGGACTAAGTTGCCAAAAAAACGCTCGATCGCCGAGCTCTTCGCTTCTGCACCGCAGATGGAGACTGTGGATTCGGCCATGGATAAAGAAGATGATGAAACTGTGGTGAAGAGGAGGAGAAAGGGGAAACGAAGGAAAGGGAAGATCGAGATGGAGATTCGCTCTTTGCAAAAGGTACGTTTTTTTTTTCCCTCCCCCCTCGCATTTTCAGTTTTGGAGTTGGGGATTTGTTGCCATCTTTTTTTTATTTTTATTAAGTTTTGTGTCCTCGTTCTAATTGCTGAGGTGGTGTAGGGTATGCGATCGCTGTTAGCTGTCAGGTTTGGTTCTTTAATAATTGTGTGCTGATTTTTCTGAGATTGTGTGGTTAATAAAGATGAAAGTAGGTTAGGGGACTGTTATTTTATGTGATTTTACTCAGCTAGAAGTGTCATTAATCTCGGATTGTATATTGGGTTCATGAAATTAGCTTAGTTTGTTTGGTTTGCACTTGAATTAAGGGACTTGAGCAAACATTAACAGATTAGGGTTTAAAATTTAGGCTCAGATTCGAAGAAATATGTAGTTAGCTTATCAGGATTGGAAACTTCTTCTGCATGCATCTTTTGCATTGAAGTTAAATGATATTATTTATATAAGGCCTTACTTTTAGTCTAATGCTGTTCAAATTTTTAGTTTTCTTCAGCAAATATGGTTCGCAGTTCCACGACCAGCCAACAAACTTGGTCACTGTATAGGTCTAGTTTGATGATATACATGCAACGTTCCTCTAATTTCCTATATAATATTCTTCATCGCTTCTTCATCAATGCGAAGTTAGCTAATTCGGAAGCAGTTCTGACTGTTAACTTTTATTTGCTTCAATCCTTCTTGATGTTACAAGGCAATTTTGGTATCTGGGTGGGGAACGTGCTAGCCTGACTAGCTTATCTAATTTGGTGACTCGAGCTGCAACTTAGCACCTTTTTTTTATTTTATAGTAGAAACGAAAAGTTTGGAGAAAGTAGAAATAGCACAAGGTGATAAAATATTGTTGATTTGCGGATAATAATGGGACATGGACTTTCAACTAGTGCTGTCTCCAATGATGTTTAGGATAATAAACTCGAATTTATTGTAGTGCTGCATTTAACAAAAGCTTCTATATTTGTTGTCAATCTGTAGCTAGCTATTTTGTTTTTAAACTTGAAATAAGAAAACGCAAGCTTGCGCTTAGGCATTTTAGCTAAGAAGTAGAATTTTTAGTGAATCATAAAATCTAAACATCATGATTTTAGTTTGTGGTGGTTTAATTCAAATTTAGAGCTCTTGTATAAAGGTTTAAATTAAAAAACCTTTGATAGCTTGAAGATTTTATCATTGTATGTGATTATATCTTAGGATATTATTACTCTTTATGTTATTGATTTTTTGTTCTCATTTAGCAAATGAAAAGTTGCATTCAAGTCAAGTTACGATATTCTTGTAGCGTGCTCGAAAGTTAAAAGGAATGTTAACCCCTAGCTAAAATGATATATGAGGTTGAACTTTGACCATGGTTGAATTCAAACTTAAATCTAATATTTACCACAACAGTCACTTATTTAAGCAACTTCCTCAATACATAATGATGCTGCTAAGTGAGGCATGGAAGTGAAGGAATATGATTTGGAGGGCAGAGATTTGATATGATATGATTACTGCATGCACCTTGAAAGATGAATACTAATTATTTTCTTTGCTTTTTTTTTTTTTTTTTTTTAAGGGTGGAAAAAATTTTTTTTTTTTTTTTTTTTTTTTTTTTTGTAAGGATGGAATAAATTATTTAAACGCCATTGTCATTATCAAAAGTTGCAATAACATTGTAGAATATATATCTAGGCTTGAACTCTCCTATTCAATCTAACGAATCATGCATTCATGCTATTGCTTTGATGTTCGAAAGGTTGGAATTAGAAGTCTTGACATAAATATTTATAAGATGATAAATGCTAACTGTTAAGTGTATTATAAGATGATAAATGCAACTGCTAAAAGATAAATCCTTAAATATTTTTTAACTTTTTGATTTTCATTGATAAAATTAAAATAATTCTTATAAATATTTCAAAAATGAGGAACCACTAAAAATAAACACACAAGACATCTTGCAACAACATTACATTTTCATCCTTCAAATGGTTGAATAAATTAAAAGAAAAATCAAATATACAATACATGCTTAAAATAGAAAGTCAAATATTCTTCACCTTTGCCACTTCTTTCAGTCATAAAAGCAATCTTCATCCTAATATGACATTTTGAAGGTGAATAAATTATGAGATGAAGACATTGTGAGTTGGCATCCTTAAATAAAAGTTTATTTTGGTTACCTCTCCAAATTTAATTTTTTTTAAATATAATTTTTAAAATTTTATCTTAACTTTCTCTTGACATGACATCCATTTTGAGTATTTGGATCTATTATAAAGAAAATCTGATACATAATTAATGATATAAGTCTGAAGACTGAATGATCAAAACTGAGAAATTTCTTTGAATATTGTATATGCAATACTGGATTATAACTTAAATATAAAAATTCGTATTATTAGTCTTTAATAAGGTTTATTATATTTTTTGGATCTTAGGGTTAGCTAAAAAAAATTCTACTAATCTTGCTAAACCTGAAAATAAAATAGAATATTAAAAGGAATAATAGTTTACATAAATGCCTGAAACATAACAATCAATATTAGCTATCTAGTGAAAATTGAAATTGCTTCTGTCGTCACCCCAACAAACATGAGATGGTCCAATTTAATTTGCTTACAAATTAGTAGTTTTAGTTTACAACTAATAGAATTAGATTTCTTTTAAGTTTAGTATGATTATTTAATTCTTACGAAATCAAAGTACTATTTTCAAATTAATTAGCTTAATTAAACTTTTCATAATTTTTAGTTGTTTAAGCAGTATAAAGGTGTCACAGTTACTGAAAGTATCAATACAGATTATCACATGGAATCCCAACACTAATAAACAAACAAAGCGGTTTATAAACTTATTATGTAAAACGGGTTACACGTTGAAAAGGTTTGATAATAAAGATTAAAATGTTTTATTGAAAAGAGATAGTAGCATGGTACATAAGAAGGATGAAACAATTTTTTTAAAAGAAGATTAAATGATAATAATTAATCCAAGTATATAGACCATGACTAAACAATGAAGCAAGTGATTTTAATTTTTCTAAAATAAACAAAGAGTTGAACTAAAAAAAATAAGGATATTATTAGCAATGAAGGTGATGGTATGCTATTTGTTTTGACGCACTATTATGAAAATCTTCTATCAGAAATAAATATTTTGTAAAAAATATTTAAATTAAATATGTAGAGGATTGTGGAAAAAATTTCAGGATATTGTCATAAGAAGTAATGATTGATTTAATGGAACATTTGTTTGTTGATAGAAAATGATTAATTGATAGTTAAATGGTAATATCTTCAAGAAGTAGATTTGATACCTTAATTTGAGTTTTGGGATGTAGCTAAAGATGAAATTATTTTCTAGTTGTTTGAAATGTTATACAACTTTTAATATGATTTAGTTGATGGAGTTTGTTTCAATTAATCATTTTAATGCTAAGAAAAATTTGTATAAAATAACAACGAATTTAGAAATTAGGTTTCATGGGTATTTCTTAAGCAAAAGGAATTTTATCTAATGAAAATAAAAGTAGAAAATGGGTTGAGCTTGTCTTCTATAGAAGAGGAGTTTCCTACTTAACTTGAAAAAAAAGTTCAAACTAAGCTTAGTTTAACAAAAGAGTAATCATAGTCTTAAAAAAATTTAAAATCAAGCATTATAAAACTAACAAAACAACTTAATATCATATAAATGAGGATGCTAAACAAAATTAGTTTTTTCATTTAGATGGGTCATCTCCTTCAAAATAACTAGTTGAATAACATGTTTAGTAAGAAGGCTTCATTTTCTTCTTTCTATTTTTTCCATGACGATTCAAAGTAGTTTGCAAGTAATATAATTTAAAAGAGATTTAAAGTAATATATGTTATACATTAGATAATCATCTTTTGATTTGATTATATTCTTTACAAAGTGAGTGAAATATAAAGCAAAATGTGCAACAATCTCAACAAAATTTAGACCAAAGTAATTTTTTTTAAAAATTATTAAGAGATAAATCTTAAGATGTAAAACTGAAATCTAAACTATTGCAATTGTGACTTTATTAACCAACTTGAAATCATAAATCCACTTAAACTAGTAAAAAAATCTATAGGTTTTACCATTCAATGCATAAACATAATTCAACCTTGTATCAAGTCAAGATTTAGAATGATGTTTTTAGAGTTTAGCAACAAAGTAGAAATTTAATCACATGAGCATCAAGTTGATAAAAATTGCTTTATAAATTATATAATTTTTATCACCCAAAATTTTATCTATCGATAGAAGATTAGAGTAGTTAAATAAATTAGTTTACTAGTAGAAAAAATTAGTGCTAGAAAATTCACATTAAAAATTAACAAAAATGAGTGGATCTTTTTCTAAGAAAAGATAGAGTATTATTTAAGCACTATATCAATAAGAGAAATGGTGGATAAAATAAACCACATTCCAATTGCAATAGCATAAGATATAATCGGAAGATAAATTAGCAAAACTTAGAATTCAAGCGTAACATCCATTGAGGATAAATAAGTTGGCTTGACAAAAAAATGGGGCAGTCTAAACTTCAACTACCTAACCATAAGAGCACAATCTAAAGCTGCTAACTATAGTAGAGGTCGATAGAAAATGATGCTAGCACTAGCAGGTGCTAGTATCCTAAAGAAAGTGGAATCAAGAGCAAAGGTGATTGGTGTCAGTGGCTATATAAGGAGGAATTAGGTGGTGATAGCTATGTGTGGTGGAAGGATCAGTTGGTTCATAAGAGAAATGTTATTCATATAGTTAATAGAGATTAAAGAATATAGTGAAGAATAGTATGGGTCAATAAAAGTAGTACTGATAGATGTAAAGGAAAAGGAAAAAGTAAAGGAGGGGAGACAGATAGAGCTAGGTAGGGGTGTCTAAGAGCTTTGTTAGAGGCATATGTAGTATTATAGACTAGAGAGCCTAAGGTAAAGACAAACACTTGGATAAATAGAGGTTAGTAAGATTCCGAGTGTGATAGAAAATGTGAT